TTTCCAACATTTGTTATCGGGCAAATGATAGATTTTTGCAAGCTTGACTGGTGTTATGTACCACCTATAGATCATTTTCATTAAATTCTCTTTTAAGGCATTACATGCCGTAAACGTCATACCAGTGGTCCATAACTGTTCCCAGTCGGCCATCATAATATTATGTCCAACATCCTGTGCCCATTTAATCATAGCAGATTTCACCATTTCATCTTGAGTATTCCATTTCAACAGCAAGTTATACATTCTTGACAAATTCTTAACTTTAGGGTCTAACAATTCTGTTTCCAACTTTGATTTTTCCACCTGGAAGCCTAGTTTTTTATCCAAGTTATATGCCTCCATTATTTGGTAATAATGGAGACAATCTCGTACTCTGTTTCTTAATTTTTCAAAGCTCTGCAGTTTTAATCTGTCACCCTCTTGTTCCAAAATTTCCCAATACTCGGCCATTTGGCCTCCCTATTGAGTTTTTTCTGAGCCTTTGCTTCCATTGGTGACAACCATCTTGGGGTTTTATTTTCTGACAAGAGATGGATATTCTTGCTAAGCCTAGCAATACCAAAAAATGGTTGCTGGAGATATGGGCAGTGCTTTTTTTCAGCTGGGACTCGCCAGAACTCAGTTCCAGCCCCTCTCAGGTGGGTGCCATTGCCATTATAAGAGACCAAGAGAGGCTTCAAGGCAAGTTCCGAGCAGTGCTTTCTTTCTGGAAAAACAGGTGGGAAAACTCACCACGAGATGTTAGATAGATAGATGATTGATTGATTGATTGATTGATTGGTTGGTTGGTTGTGGGCCCAGTCATAGTGGCACAAGCCCACACCCCGGGCAGTGGCTAAATATAAGACGTGATTAATAAACAAAAGCAGACAATGATCTGGGTTAGAAATGCCCACAACTTCATTGGTTCGAGATATAGGTGGGTTTTTGCCTTGGCGCTTGCACTGTGACTTCAAATGCCTAGTACTGGCCCTTCACTAGCTGTCTGGTCCCCTGCTTCTTCCACCTTCACTCAAGATGGCAGTTTCACTTGTCGTGAATCCACAAGAGCAACACACACACAAGGGCTGCTTTAGTCTTAGTGTCTGCCCCTGTTTTCTTTCTTCACTGTCTCCCTGGTTTGCTTTCCCCACTTCCTATCTTCTCTCCTCAAAACCGACAATCCTAGATTGACTCCACGTAGCTGGCAGTGAGTCCCACTGAGGTGAATGGGATTCACTTCTGAAGAGATTTGGTGAAGGTTGCAGTGTCCTGTCAGAAGCTTCCTCTCCATCCCTTCCCATTCTATCCCAACCTGTGTTTTTCCTCAGACCTTGACAGAGCTCTTTCTCATTTCTGAGGCAATCCTAACTTTTGAAAGTGTGTAATTTTTTTGCCCAAGGAGCTGCTTTAAAGGGGAAGTGAGGGAAATGGGAAGCATCCTAAAGGTAAAGGGACCCCTGACCATTAGGTCCAGTCGTGACTGACTCTGGGGTTGCGGCGCTCATCTCGCTTTATTGGCCGAGGGAGCCGGCGTACAGCTTCTGGGTCATGTGGCCGCTTCTGGCGAACCAGAGCAGCGCACAGAAACACCGTTTACCTTCCCGCCGGAGCGGTACCTATTTATCTACTTGCACTTTGACATGCTTTCGAACTGCTAGGTTGGCAGGAGCAGGGACCGAGCAACGGGAGCTCACCCCGTGGCGGGGATTCGAACCGCCGACCTTCTGATCGGCAAGTCCTAGGCTGTGGTTTAACCCACAGCGCCACCCGCCCAAAAGCTGTTTTGCTGTCTTGAGAAGTCTAGAAGAGGAGAGAGAGAGAGAGCTGAGGGCAGAGTTGGAAGCGGAGTTTGAGAATACAGTGGTACCTCGGGTTATAGACGCTTCAGGTTACAAACTCCGCTAACCCAGAAATAGTGCTTCAGGTTAAGAACTTTGCTTCAGGATGAGAACAGAAATTGTGCTCCGGCAGCACGGCAGCAGCAGGAGGCCCCATTAGCTAAAGTGGTGCTTCAGGTTAAGAACAGTTTCAGCTTAAGAACAGACCTCCGGAACGAATTAAGTGCTTAACCCGAGGTACCACTGTACTGCTGTGAGATGATCACAGAATCACAAATTTGGAAGAGACCTCAGAGGGTCATCCAGTCCAACCCCTGCAATGGAGGTACCTCAACTCAAGCAGCCTCAAGTTCAGGCAGCCACTTAAATCTCCCCCTCCATTAACCCCTATTGAAAGCCCCTTGAAAGCTCCCTTCTCACCAATCTCTCCCTTTTTATCGAAGGGAAGGGGGCAAGCAAGCAAAAAGCTAGCCTCCTTTAATCCCCCCCCCCCCATTTTTAATATGGAGGGAAGAGGGAAGCTATTTCACCCCTCCCCCTTTGTTTTCTGCCGGTGGGGGTGGGTGGAGGGAAGAAAACGAAGCAGCAGCAAATAATGATGTTTAGGGGTGGGGAAACAGATGTGTGGAAAAGCAAAGGGGAGAGGGAATTGGGAAGAGTTCAAGGCTGAGGAGGGGGGGTAGAGATTGCCAGCACAGAGAGAAGGGAGGAAGGGAAGGCAGCATGCTGCTTTCTGCCTTCCAGGAGGCTCACAGAGAACGGAGCAAACGGGGCTTGGAAGGCATGCCAATTCCCACCCCCTCTTCTAAGCAAGCGTCTCTGTTCAGAGAGGCAAAGGAAGTCTCATGACTCATGATCTGTCTAGGGAGGAAGAACAGCACGCTCCCGCTGCTGCCGCTCCTACCCAAACCAGGCGGGCTCAGTGCGCAGCTGGGCTGACACGGGGCCTCCCTGAGGAGAGGAGGTGGTGGAGTGTCCTGCAGATTCAGGCTCCTGCTCACCTCTCCCCACCCCCCATGATGGCACCCGGGGAAGCCCCCCTCGCCCCCCCCCATACGCCTCTGAGTGCACCTCTCTCCCCCTCCCACCTGCCCCAGCCATTCTGTTGGCTGGGACCCACTCCCAGGCACTCCCGACCCTCTACCCTTCAGAACAGAATATGTCTTGGTATAAGGCAGCTTCCTCAACCCTGGAAAGATACTGCATTTTGCAGAGGAGGGCTGGACATGGTCCTCAGCTGAGGCAGCCAGCTATAAAGGTAAAGGGACCCCTGACCATTAGGTCCAGTCGTGACCGACTCTGGCGTTGCGGTGCTCATCTCGCTTTATTGGCCGAGGGAGCCGGCGTACAGCTTCCGGGTCATGTGACCAGCATGACTAAGGCGCTTCTGGCAAACCAGAGCAGCGCACGGAAACGCCGTTTACCTTCCCGCCAGAGGGGTACCTATTTATCTACTTGCACTTTGATGTGCTTTCGAACTGCTAGGTTGGCAGGAGCAGGACTGAGCAATGGGAGCTCACCCCGTCGCGGGGATTCGAACTGCCGACCTTCTGATCGGCAAGTCCTAGGCTCTGTGCCACCCGCAGCCAGCTATAAGCTCAGCCAAATAGAATATGTTTAAGTTGAAGAATGACAATGGGCAAGCATGGTGGTAGGTCACTGTCAGGTTTTGATACTGGATACTTGACCTGCCTAATATAGCTGACTCCTTGAAAAGCCATGCGGCTAGTAAGCAAGGGGAGGTGGTGGAGCACAGTTGCCCTTTCCTTCCCTCCTGGCGGGGGAACAAAGATTTCGCCTCCAGCCGCTGCTGCCTTTGGGAGAGATGTTATGCAAGAGAGTTGTGAATCTCCAATGCTGGCGTCTCTCCAAATGGCTGGAGGCAGAATCTTTGCTTCCCTGCCCAGGAGGAAAGAAAAGGGCAACTGTGCTCCACCACCTCTTGGAGTTGTGAATCTCCACACCTCAGGAGGTGTGAGCCGGGATGAAAAGTAACTCATCCAGCGCTGGCATGTTCCTTAAACACTCTTGGAGCACAGTAAGAAGAAGAAGAAGAAGAAGAAGAAGAAGAAGAAGAAGTTGTTATTTATAGATTGAATCTGTGAGTCTTACTCAGAGTAGACCCACTAAGCAGCATGAATAGCTTAGCTCTGTTCATTTCAATGGACTTACTTTGAGTAAAAGTTACTTGGATACAAATTAATGATGATGACAATGATGCACACAGGACAAAACCCTCTCTTGGCTTGGTGAATACCCGTCTCACGTCCAGACCCCTCAAGCCTAAAGTCTGTTGACCCCTGACCTAAAGTGCTCAAATAACTTTAAAACATGCTTGTAGAGATCTGCACAACCCTACAAGTAGATTTGTGTTTAAATGACATGCTTTATCATAGCTCTGGATAAGTGTAGCCTTCCAGATGTTGTTGGACTGCAACTCCCATAATCCTGGGCCAGTAGGGCCAATAGTCAGGGATAATGGCAGTTGTAAGTACAGTAGTCTACGATGTCTCAAAGACATAAATAAGCAAGCCCAACCCCCAGGTACACCCCTGGCTGGACTAAATAGGGATTTGGTCTGATCCAGCAGGCTCTTCTCATGCCTTACCCACTTAGCTGGGTCCGGGACTTCATTCCAAGTAGATACCGTATTTTTTGCTCCATAAGGCGCACCTGACAAAAAGACGCACCTAGTTTTCGGAGGAGGAAAACAATAAAAAAAATATTCTGAACAAAGCAGTGTATGTATGATTTTTGTGGTTCATGCTGTGGCCACAGACGTGTGATCTGACAGTAAGTTTGGGGTAGCCCAATGCAAAAATCCTGAGAATCCAGGTGGATCTGTGCTTTGTAACCACGTTTTTGCGCCATTGCGACCCCAGGCAACAGTGGGTGCGTGATTCATTTGGTGCAGGCTGTAGCCATGGACATGCTATGTGATCTGATGGTGAACTTGGGGTAACCCAATGCAAAAATCCTGAGGATCCATGTGGATCCGTGCTTTGTAACCACGTTTTAAATGGGGAGGGAAGGAAAACCACAAGGGACAAGGAGCACGAGTGGAGGGGTGGAGAAGGAGGCGGCTAACAACGCAGGAGAGGGGTTTATGGGGAGGGAAGGAAAAACACTGAAGGGACAAGGAGCATGTGTGGGGGGTGTGGAGAAGGAGCTTTTCACCTCGCTGAGCTGGGGAGGGAGAGAGGGAAAGAGAGCACGGTTGCTTTAAAGGAGCCAACCGGACAGGAGCCGCTTACACCCCAGAGGCTCCTCTCCTCTCCTGCTTTGCTCCTTTAAAGCAAGTGGGCTCTCCTTATCTCCCTCCTCCCTGGCTCAGCGAGCTGAAAAGCTTTGCTGCTATTCAGCCAGCTGAGCGGGGAGCGAAGGAGGGAAAGAGAGCACGCTCGCTTTAAAGCAGCCAACTCGTTTAAGCGGCTCCTCTCCCGCTTGGCTGCTTCAAAGCGAGCGACGGAGGAGGGAAGGGGAACCATGGATCCTCTGCTCGCGACTGCAGCAGTTCCCCCTGCCATCCGTAGGCATTCGCTCCATAAGACACACAGACATTTCCCCTTACTTTTTAGGAGAGAAAAAATGCGTCCTATGGAGCGAAAAATACGGTATGTATAGGATTTCACTGTATGCCCATGGGTGCCAGGGAGGTTTCAAAATGCTCCGAGGGCAGCAGAGCTAAAAGCAGGGAAAGGGCAAATGCTCAGTTTTTGGAAATATAAATTCTGGTACTATTGGACTCCGGCACTATTTGGAAAGTATGGACTCTCTTTTATTATTATTAAACATTTTCTTGGTTTACGAAAGTGTGTGCAATGTCTCTCTCATATTTTTTTCTCCATGTAACATTTTTACAAATCAGTTTCATTTGTTGAGGCATTAGGAAGAAAAGGGGGAAAGAGGTGGAGGGGTGGGGAAGATGGGTGGGGGTGGAATTGGGTGGCCATGTTTCTATTTTACTTACCATATGTAGAATTTGGTGTCAGCGTTGCTTCTGCAGGGTCTTTGCTGCTCACCTGTGTTCCTTTGGTGGTGAGAGAGGTTGGGGTTGGCCTAGGTTGTGGTTATTCATTTGTGGTTGGCTGTGGTGGTCTTTGTTTTCATGTGTGAGTGGGGTGGGTGTTTTGGATCAGGTTAGCCATATTGATTTGTAGGCTGTTGGTGGATTATTGTCATTGTCTTGTTGGACTGTGTATGTGATAAAGGGGAGGCATACTGGGGTGAAGGTGTCTTCTATTTGTCCCTGTGTCAGTTTCAGTTTATTGGTTAATTTTTCTAGTAGGGCTGTTTCCCATATTATTTGGTACCATTGGTCCATGCTTACTCCTGACAGGTCTCTCCAGTGTCTGGCTATGATGCTTCTGGCTGCTAAAAGTAGGTGGCTTATCAGTTCTTTGTGGTGTAAGTGGGCATTATTGTTTTGGAAGATGTTTAGTAAGGCCAGTTCTGGGGTGATTTCTAATACAGTGGTGCCTCGGGTTACATACACTTCAGGTTACAGACTCCGCTAACCCAGAAATATTACCTTGGGTTAAGAACTTTGCTTCAGGATGAGAACAGAAATCGTGCTCCGACGGTGCGGCAGCAGCAGGAGGCCCCATTAGCTAAAGTGGTGCTTCAGGTTAAGAACAGTTTCAGGTTAAGAACGGACCTCCGGAACGAATTGAGTACTTAACCCGAGGTACCACTGTACTTGCTTGGTTATTTTACTTATTTCTCGTATGGTTGTGGTCCAGAATAGTTGGATTTTGGGGCACTCCCACCACATGTGGAGGCATGTGCCTGTGGAGGTGCACCCTCTCCAGCATTTTGGTGAGGTTCCTGGGCGTATTAGCGCTAGTTTTCTTGGAGTTAGGTACCACCTGTAGGTGAGTTTCAGAGTGAGTTCTTTTCTTTTCGTTGATATGGATTTAAAGGGGGGTTTGGACCACATTCTGGTCAATTGAGTGGGGTTAATCTCAGCTTATGTCATCCTCCCATTGTTTTTTGATTGCGTCTAGGGAATTCGTGGGATTTTGTAGTAGTATTTTGTATATTGCAGATACCATCCCTCTACCGTGTCCCTTTGTTTAAGACCTGCAAGGAAGGAGAGGCCACCTCCTCTCAAGAGAGTTCTTTCCACTTCCTGATGTTTTGACAGTCTGGGGGAGGCTTGGGAGTTGCAGGCGGGTGGTGCGCCGCCATTGCCCCACGCTCCTGGGCTGCTTCCGGGGGGGGGGGAGCCTCCCAAGCCTCCCCCAAGGGGGAAGGCCGCCTGCAAAGCTGCACAACCCCCATCCCCAGAGAGCAGCCCGGGAGTGTGGGGCAACAGCACACAGTCTACCCATGACTTCCAAGCCTTCCTGGAGCCTTCAGGGGAAAGGAGAGGCCGCTGGCAAAGCAGCGTGGCTCTTCGCCCCCCGCCCCCCAGCCTGGAAGCAGCCTAGGAGCTGCCATTTTGTCACCCTCCTCAGTAATGACACCTGGAGTGGCTCGTACCCTCCCGTCCTACACCACTGCAATGTGGAACATCTTTCTTTTTTTAAAAAAAAATGATATTTATTAAAAGTTTAAAAATTACAGAAAAAAGAAAAAAGACAACAATAAAAAAAAGAAAAAAACCATAGAAAAGCAATACAACAATACAGCAAAAAAACAAAGAAAGAAAAAACTAAAACACACATCCAATATTCCATATCTTTACCTTTCCTTTACTTGTTTCATCGACCTCCTCACACCTCCCTTTTTTGTATTCTAGTTCAATTCACTATTTCAGCAAATTCTTCCCATCTTTCTCAATTTTTATTCTATAATTTATCTTAACGGTCTAACCTTGAATTTTTTCATTTTAACCCGTTATCAATCAGCTTTTACTTAATTCTTTGTTGCATTTCTACTAAAACCATATAGCTTCATTCCAGCATCCTTCTAACACTCATTAATTTTACAATGTTTCTGTAAGTATACTTTAAATTTTTTCCAATCTTCTTCCACCGACTCTTCTCCCTGGTCTCGGATTCTGCCAGTCATTTCCGCCAGTTCCATGTAGTCCATCAGCTTCATCTGCCATTCTTCCCTGGTGGGTAGATCTTGTGTCTTCCAATACTTTGCAATAAGTATTCTTGCTGCTGTTGTAGCGTACATAAAGAAAGTTCTATCCTTCTTTGGCACCAATTGGCCGACCATGCCCAGGAGAAAGGCCTCTGGTTTCTTCAGGAAGGTATATTTAAATACCTTTTTCATTTCATTATAGATCATCTCCCAGAATGCCTTAATCTTTGGGCATGTCCACCAAAGGTGAAAGAATATACCTTCAGTTTCATTACATTTCCAACATTTGTTATCGGGCAAATGATAGATTTTTGCAAGCTTGACTGGTGTTATGTACCACCTATAGATCATTTTCATTAAATTCTCTTTTAAGGCATTACATGCCGTAAACGTCATACCACTGGTCCATAACTGTTCCCAGTCGGCCATCATAATATTATGTCCAACATCCTGTGCCCATTTAATCATAGCAGATTTCACCATTTCATCTTGAGTATTCCATTTCAACAGCAAGTTATACATTCTTGACAAATTCTTAACTTTAGGGTCTAACAATTCTGTTTCCAACTTTGATTTTTCCACCTGGAAGCCTAGTTTTTTATCCAAGTTATATGCCTCCATTATTTGGTAATAATGGAGACAATCTCGTACTCTGTTTCTTAATTTTTCAAAGCTCTGCAGTTTTAATCTGTCACCCTCTTGTTCCAAAATTTCCCAATACTTCGGCCATTTGGCCTCCCTATTGAGTTTTTTCTGAGCCTTTGCTTCCATTGGTGACAACCATCTTGGGGTTTTATTTTCTGACAAGAGATGGATATTCTTGCTAAGCCTAGCAATACCAAAAAATGGTTGCTGGAGATATGGGCAGTGCTTTTTTTCAGCTGGGACTCGCCAGAACTCAGTTCCAGCCCCTCTCAGGTGGGTGCCATTGCCATTATAAGAGACCAAGAGAGGCTTCAAGGCAAGTTCCGAGCAGTGCTTTCTTTCTGGAAAAACAGGTGGGAAAACTCACCACGAGATGTTAGATAGATAGATGATTGATTGATTGATTGATTGATTGGTTGGTTGGTTGTGGGCCCAGTCATAGTGGCACAAGCCCACACCCCGGGCAGTGGCTAAATATAAGACGTGATTAATAAACAAAAGCAGACAATGATCTGGGTTAGAAATGCCCACAACTTCATTGGTTCGAGATATAGGTGGGTTTTTGCCTTGGCGCTTGCACTGTGACTTCAAATGCCTAGTACTGGCCCTTCACTAGCTGTCTGGTCCCCTGCTTCTTCCACCTTCACTCAAGATGGCAGTTTCACTTGTCGTGAATCCACAAGAGCAACACACACACAAGGGCTGCTTTAGTCTTAGTGTCTGCCCCTGTTTTCTTTCTTCACTGTCTCCCTGGTTTGCTTTCCCCACTTCCTATCTTCTCTCCTCAAAACCGACAATTTTAGATTGACTCCACCTACCTGGCAGTGAGTCCCACTGAGGTGAATGGGATTCACTTCTGAAGAGATTTGGTGAAGGTTGCAGTGTCCTGTCAGAAGCTTCCTCTCCATCCCTTCCCATTCTATCCCAACCTGTGTTTTTCCTCAGACCTTGACAGAGCTCTTTCTCATTTCTGAGGCAATCCTAACTTTTGAAAGTGTGTAATTTTTTGCCCAAGGAGCTGCTTTAAAGGGGAAGTGAGGGAAATGGGAAGCATCCTAAAGGTAAAGGGACCCCTGACCATTAGGTCCAGTCGTGACTGACTCTGGGGTTGCGGCGCTCACCTCGCTTTATTGGCCGAGGAAGCCGGCGTACAGCTTCCGGGTCATGTGACCAGCATGACTAAGGCGCTTCTGGCGAACCAGAGCAGCTCACGGAAACGCCGTTTACCTTCCCACCAGAGGGGTACCTATTTATCTACTTGCACTTTGATGTGCGTTCGAACTGCTAGGTTGGCAGGAGCAGGACTGAGCAACGGGAGCTCACCCCGTCGCGGGGATTCGAACTGCCAACCTTCTGATCGGCAAGTCCTAGGCTCTGTGCCACCCGCAGCCAGCTATAAGCTCAGCCAAATAGAATATGTTTAAGTTGAAGAATGACAATGGGCAAGCATGGTGGTAGGTCACTGTCAGGTTTTGATACTGGATACTTGATATGCCTAATATAGCTGACTCCTTGAAAAGCCATGCGGCTAGTAAGCAAGGGGAGGTGGTGGAGCACAGTTGCCCTTTCCTTCCCTCCTGGCGGGGGAACAAAGATTTCGCCTCCAGCCGCTGCTGCCTTTGGGAGAGATGTTATGCAAGAGAGTTGTGAATCTCCA